TATATATATATTTATTTATGTGTTTGTGTGTGTGCGCGCATATGAAACAAAAGCATAAAAGAAAATAAAGGACAGAGCTATATGAAATAAGATAAATTTATATTAATATAGAAATTTACACATGGAAGATTTATATAGACAATGGAGGAAGATTTTTCGAAGCACTCTTAAAAACTTATATTAAAACTTGCACACTAAAACAAAATTCAAATGTTAGTATAAAAAGTATAATATTTTAGTTTCACTTGTACTTGTCGAGCATAAAGAATATTTCTTTTGGTGATTGGCGGTCTCCATCACTAATTGATGTTTTTTGGGTGGGTGGTTTGCACCATTATTTTTGTTTGCTCTTAGAATCCTCTCGCATCTTCATGGGGTCCCATGTAGATTGTTGGCAAATACATGGGCTAATCTTCATTGGCTCATTCTTCTGAGTTGTTCATGGATTCATCATTATTGTTCCTCTAGATCATCTAAGTCTGAAATATCTTCGGATACTGTCCATCACAATTTTGTATAATCCTCCTTTCAATATGAGCTATAATATCATGAAAATATTTTCTCTTGGGCCCCTCAAATATCTTTGAGAAATAAGTTTCTACAAAAATTTGCAGGAGGGATATGGGCAGCCTCATGGGTGTTCATAATAGTATTTATCAGCCTTAATTTTTTTCCTTATTAATTTAAGGTCATCATTTTAACAGGAATCGTATTTGGGCAAAAATTAATTGAATTGATTTTTTCCAAAATTATATTTCATTGCCAAAGTCATGAAAAAAAATTATAATTTCATCTAAATTTCGAGGCAATTTTTTGAACAACATTATTTTGATGATTATTAAAGGCTATGATTTATGCAAGTTTATAGTCAAACTAACCATGTTGATTAGACGAACCCGTTGATACTAAAAGTGGTTCAATTTGAATCTAATCAAATATAAATCAAGCTATTATATCCCATTTGGAGGCTTCAGATTAATAATTGAATAGGTGAAAGAACTTCAAAATTGACATATCTATAGTCAAATCGAGCATCTTGATGCGAGGAATCTTAACTCAAGCTTTCTTAATTTTGGCGTCATTAAGGCCTTCAAATCATCAAAAAAAATTATAATCAAGAGGGATCAATTTGAGCTGTTCAATTAGGTGGTTGGGGAAGTTTTTTTGCCAAAATACCAAAATGTATCTCTCGTAGGGGCTATAAATATACCCCCTCCTCACATGGAGAAGAAAGGAGAATGAGTCAAATTCTAGTGATGTTATGGAACAAAGATACGACAGTAACTTTCTGGACCAAAGATACATCAGTAACTTTTGACCTCCGTAGTCGTCGACCACCGCCTGTCGACCGTCATCGACCATAGTCGGTCTCCTTCTGCTCATTATCATTTACGAACTCTATTTGCTTAAGAAGTATCACATATATGGTATAAAAAATATTTGACCTGGCGACAACTACTTGACCATTGTATTTAGAATATGACTTTCTATAGACTTTTGAAGTTTCTATAAATCATACAGCATATAATAACAAACCCATGAAATGAGTTTCAGTCACAAACAAGTGTAGCACAAACAACGACCTATGTGGTCAATTACTAATGTAGCTTCCCACTACAGCCTCTATGGTCAATTGTTGTTGTAGTAGATACCAATCACGATCTATATGACCAACTACAACCTATATAGATAAATGCAACTACAATTTCCAACTATTGTCTATGTGAATAACTATAGCCTATGTGGTGAACTACTACTGCAACTACCAACCATGACTTATGTGAGAAATTATGACATATGTAGCTAATTGCTATTATAGCTTCCAACTACGGCCTATGTGGCTAACTACACTACTACAACTATTATGCACATCCAATGTATTGAACTGCATTCTATGTAACAAACTCCTATTGCAACTTTTAATTATAGTTTATGTGACCAATTGTGACTTATTCGTTGAACTGCTAAAACAACTACTACCATAACATATATGACAAACTACGACCTATGTAGCTAATTGCTACTACAACCTTCAACTAGAATCTATATGGCTAGCTGTCACTATAGTTATCAAACACACCCTATGGGATTAACTACGACATGTGTAACTAACTTTATTGTAAGTTCTAAATACCGCCTATGTGATCAACTATATCCTACATGGCTAATAGCTACTGCAATTATAAATTGTGGTCTATGTGACAAACTACGACCTATGTGGCTAACTGCTACTACAACTAACAAATATGGCTTATGTAACCAACTATAGCCTATGTAGTTAAGTACTATTGTACCCACCAAATATAACCTCTGCGACCAACTGAAGCTATTGCAGTCTCCAATTATAGTCTTTATGACCAACTGATGCTATAATAGTCTCCAATTATGGCGTCCATCTCAAACAATGCTATTGCATTCACCAACTACGATCTTTGTAGCCAATTAAGCTATCGTAGTCTCCAACTATGCCCTATGTGGCTAATTGACGTTATTGTAGTCTCCGACTACGACCTCCACATGACCAATTAATGTTATTGCAGTCTTCAACTATGGCCTTTTATGACCAACCGATGCTATTGCCCTCACCAACTACAACCTCCGTGACCAACTAATAGTGTAGTCACTAACTATGACCTCCGTGGACAACTGACATTATTACAGTATCCAACTACGACATCTATGGATAAATGATGCTATTGCAATCTCTAACTATGGTCTCTGTGGCCAATTAAAGCTACTGCAGTCTCTAACTATGACCTTCATAGCCAACTGAAGGTATTGCAGTCTCCAACTAGGCTTTTGTGGCCAACTGATACGATTGTAGTCTCCAATTGCAGCCTTCATAACCAACTAACCCAATTGTAGTATCCAACTATGACCTTCGTAACCAAATAACGATATTTTAGTCACCAACTATGACCTTCGTGACCAACTGACTCAGTCACCAGCTACAGTCGATGTCACTAAATAAAACTTATGTCACCAGCTATAACACATGTAGGGATGTAAACGAGCCAACTAAGGGCGAGCCCAAGCTCAGCTCTTGTTCGACTCATTTATATTTCGAGCTCAAAAAGTGTGTTTGTGTTCGACTCATTTGCTTAACAAGCCTAACACGAGCCGTTCACGTTCAAAGAGTTGTTTTGGCAACCCTAATCAGTAGCCATAAGATCTTAAGGATTAAGGCAAAGTTGAAAACAATATTTCAATATAATTTAATATTATTTTATTTATTTTCTTAATCAATACTTTTAATTGATTATAAATCTTTGTAGCCTTGTAGTTAATTAAATTTTTTTAAAAATACTACTCATCAAATATATATAATTGATTATAAGTATTTCGAGCCAAAACAAGCCGAACAAGAACGAATCGTTAACTTAGCGAACGGCAGAACACAAACTTCTTAACGAACCGAACACGAGCTGTTCGTGAACAACGAGCCATTTTGCCAACACACATGTGACCAACTGTTTCTACAACTCCAACACTACGACCTATGCGAAAAAATTGATGTGTGTTATTGCAGACATCGCCTATGACTTTTATGACCAACGCAACCGTTATATTGTCTTACTATGACCTCTATGACCAACTACTACTATTGCAACTACTGCTTATGATTTTTGCAGCAACTATTACTATTATAGTCGAGAACTACATATATTACACTATTATGAGTATTATTGTTGAACTAATATTATACATTTATGATTATCAACTTTGTAATTTCATCATCTCTAATTTAGAGCAAGCGTGAACTTATGTATTGACAATCACATAGTGAACTATTTTGATTGGGACATACCTCGTGATTTTATTCTTTTATATTATTCTTCTACATAAAAATTCTTAGTCTCTCATCCCACAACTTCTCAATTATCTATGTGATTCAGCTTCACACATTAATAAGACGTTAAATTTAATTATTAATCTACCGTCATGAATTTTCAAACACCAAATATATATATCACTCCAAGCATCACATCAAGGTAAAGCAATTGCTTCAATCAATTTTGAAAGATAATCCACTGCAATCAATATATATATATATATATATTTTCGCGCCATTCTCACCAATATTCCCCCGCGAATTCCAGAGCAGCGCACTATTCCTCTAGTCTCCAAGACATTCTGCGTCGCCGTTCCCGTCGCTTCCTGTCGCCTTTCCAGTCGCCGTTGTCCGTCGTCGTTTCCGTCACCGCTCTTTCCGTCTTTCCCGCCGCCTTTCCGTCGCAGGACCGCAAAGGGTAAGCCCTAATTTCCTTTATATTATCCGAAGTTTGTATGATTATAACTAGACTTAGTGTCTTGTACAGCAGAAACAAAGTTTTTTTTTTTTAATTTGGTCATATCTAATTTGTTTGATTAGTGCGTACATCCACAAAATGACACATAATTGCAATTAAGAATGTTTGAAATTATTCAATTGCTTGTATATATTGTAAGACTATTAATGTGACTTACATCTTCACTAGAGCGTTTCTCAAATTGAAGTTTGGTTGATAAAATAATAAAGGTGACATCATTATATGAATGCAATATACTATAATTTTTAATCACAATGGCACTTTTTCTCGTAGGGCTAAATATTTATTATTGCACGCTCATGTTGGAAGCTCTAACTAAATGTGAATACTAGTTAAGTTTCTTCAAAGTTAGGTTAAAAATGCGGCTAAACTTGTTTCTCTTATTCACACTATAAGATTATCAAGATCTTCTAGTCGTGGGCATGCATCAGTACATACATCTGAACAGGTGCACATTGTTGGCAATTGAGAAGAAGAGGAAAAGAAGAGAAAATGAAGAGTGGCTAGGGTTCCAAAATTGCCACTAACACCTCATTACGTGAGTATATATATACAATAAGTAGACAGACAAAACTACCCTTAAGTATAGTTAAATGATAGAAATACAAATAATAATATCTAACTTCCCCCTCAAACTCACGATGCATCAAGGGGAATCATTGAGAGTTTGCTAGTCAAGAAACAAAAGCGTTGAGTGAAATGCGATTTCGTAGACACGCCAACAAGTTGCATGGAGGAAGAAATATAAGATAAGGTGATGGTGCCATGTTGAAAGTGATGACGAGTGAAATGACAATCAATCTTAATATGTTTGGTGAGCTCATGGAAGACTGAGTTGCAGATAATTTGTATAACACTATTGTTATCACAGTACATAGGAGCTGGGCCAGAGAAAGAGACACTCATATCAGCAAGTAACCAACACAACCAAACAATTTTTGCAGTGGTGGATGCCATGGAACGATACTCAGCTTCGGTAGAAAAGCGAGAGACAACTGCTTGCTTCTTACTCTTCCAAGAAATGAAAAGAAATTCTTCCAAGAAATGAAGAATCTTCTAGAAAATACAAAATCTTGTGGTAGATTTACGATTGGTGGATTCACCACCCTAATCAGCATCCGAGTAGGCACGTAATTCCAAGGAAGAAGATGCAGGAAAGAGAAAACTCTGAAATTGAGTGCTCCGAAGATAATGAAGAATCCGAATAACAACTGCCCAATGAACTGAAGTAGGAGAGACAACAAACTGACTGACAACATGTACTGCATAAGAATTATCAGGTCTAGTGATGGTAAGATATACCAAGCTGCCGACAAGTGTACGATACAAATTGGGAGACACCATCAGAAGAGGTATAGTGAACATTAAGCTCAAGAGGAGTAGCAGTTGTTCGAGTATCAGAAAGACGAGCTTGTTCAAGGATGGTGCCAATATACTTAGATTGGGAAAGATGATAACCTTTAGGAGAATGAGCCACTTCAATCCTCAAAAAATATCGAAGCATACCCAAATCTTTCACTTCAAACCCCTAATTGTAATTTCAACTCTGCAATCCCATTTTTATCATCCCTAGTAATAATCATGTCATCAACATATACAGAGAGTATCATACGACCATGGGAGGTACTCTTGAGAAACTAGGCAGTGTCATATGAGCTAGAATGAAAACCAAGAGATGCAATCACAATAGAGAATTTTTCAAACCAAGCTCAATGAGCTTGTTTAAGGCCGTAGAGACTTTCTTTAATTTACAAACTTCACCATAATTTTGAAAGACCATGTAAAATTCATCTTGAAGATCGCCATTTAAGAATGTATTTTTAACATTCATTTGAGAGATATGTCACCAGTGAATAGACACGATTGCAATAAGAGTACAGATAGTGGTCATTTTGGCAACAGAAACAAATGTTTCTTCATAATCCAAACCATACTATTGAGAAAGTCCCTTAGCAACCAAATGACCTTTATATCGTTCAACGGACCCATCAAACTTGGTTTTGATTTTATACACCCAATGAGAACCAATTGCACGTTTTTCTGGAGGAAGAGAGATAAGATCTTAAGTATCTGTCTTGTGTAAAATAGAAAGTTCTTCTGCCATAGCTTTATGTCAAAGAGGATCAAGAACAGTCTCTTGATAGGAAGAAGGCTCAGACAAATTATGAATGGAGGTTAAAAAAAGAAGCAAAAGAAGTAGAATAAGTGGAGTAAACAAAATCTGTCAATTTAGTAGACTTGCGATCACATTGAGGGTAACGAGGAAGATGAGGATTCACAATCACAGAAGGTTCTTGGGGAGCATCAGGATCTGCAGAAGTACCAGTGTCAACCTTGCAAAGCTCAATATCAATATTATTTGGATGTTGATCTACATGACGATGTTCAATATCTGTATCAGTGTGAAAATGATCAATTGAGATAAGATCAGACTTTGTAAGGCTATAAGAATAAGGAAGAATTGAGTAAAATAGTATATGCTCAAGAAATACAACATGACGTGATACAAAAAGTTTGTGAGTGACATAATCATAACAACGATATCCTTTCTGACCATCACGATAACCAAAAAATATATAGATTGTCGAACGGGATGACAATGTATTACGTTGTACACGAGGAAGAAGAACAAAACAATTAGAAAAAAAAACTCTCAAAGCGGAATAACCAGGAGCGTGACCATATAGTTTTTCACAGGGAGACAAACCTGAAGTAACAGAAGATGAAGTTCTGTTAATAATATAGACTGCAATAAGAATAGCTCCTCCCCAAAATTTACTTGGAACAGATCCAGACAAAAGAAGGGATCGAGCTGTTTCAACAATGTGACGATGTTTTCTTTCAGCAACTTCATTTTGTTCAGGAGTGTCAGTATAAGAAGTTTGAAGAAAAGACCCATCAGATGCAAGTAATTCAAAGAATTTAGTAGAGGTATATCCACCTCCCAGATCACACCTAAAACACGTAATAACAATATTATGTTGAGTTTTGACAAATGCACGAAACATATGATAAACATTAAAATATTCAGAACAATTTTTTATAAGATAAATCCAACAATAACGAGTATAGTCATCAATGAACGAGAGATAATATCTAGATCCAACTTTGGTAGCAACAGGTGATGGACCCCATACATCCGAGTGAACCAAGTTAAAAGGTGCAACAAAAAGTGAAACACTTTTATAAAAGGGTAAAACAAAAAATTTAGCAAGTTTATAACCACAACAATCATAAATATCACGAGTTTTTAACTCGCCCAAAACTCCAGTAGAAATTAAGTATTTTAGACGAGAAGAAGTAACATGTCCAAGACGAGAGTGCCATAGATAAAATTTAGAAGATGATGAACTCAAACGAAATGATGACAGGTCAACACTGGAAGCTGCAACATCTGAAACTCTTAGCTCATCAGAATATAAAGTCCACCTTGCCTACGACCTGTCCCAATCAACCTCCTGGATTGCAGATACTGCACGTAACAAGAGGTGAAAAAAATTAAAACTGAGAAACCAGAATCACACAATTGACCAACAAAAATAAGGTTTAACGTAAGATTGGGGATATAGTAAACATTTGAAAGAGATAAGTGTGATGTGCATACAGACCCAGTGCCTGCTAATGACATAGGAGTGTCATCAGCAGTCATGACTGATACAGATGATGCAGGATGTAAGGATACAAATGATGTAAAATCAGATGACATATGATGAGAGAGGCTCGATGAGAGGCTCCATAGTCAAGAATCCAAATAGAAGAATATATACCTGATGAGCTAGAGGAAGGCAAACCTATATTTGAGAAGATAGGCATGACATGTGGTTGTGTGACAAGAAACTTTTAAAACTGCTCAGCAAGTGCAGCTACTGTCCGAATAATACGCATGTCCAACACCAAGAGAGTCTGTTGGAGGAACAACAACTACAAAATTTGATGTTGGAGTCTTGAATTTTCGTGGGTGCAACTGATTGAGTTGTCGTGCCTTCTGTTATTTGTTCAACAACTTTGGACATTGAGCTTCCAATGACCCTTTTGCTTACAAAAACTACATTCATCAAACCCAACATTTCTATGAGATTTGCTTTTATTATGAGTAGCTGCAAAATCAGATGGATTAAGAGTGGGGAGTATCTCTTTCTCAACATTCCCTTTCTCAGATTGAGACTTGAGACGAAACTTTTCAGCTAATAACTCATTAACCACCGACTCAACTGTTGTAAGAGGATTGCGATGTAAAATTGTTCCACTGTTCTTCTCTATGATCAGTGTATGGTTTAAAAGCTCGTAATTCTGCAAATTCAGTAAGAGATAACTGATCCCAAAGATTATTCATGACAGAATAAAATTCTTGGATGCTCATGTTGTTCTGTTGAAGAGCATGAATATCTATCTTTTATTGATATTGCTTTGCAAAATTTGACCGCATATATAATTTTTCTAAATGATTCCAAACTTCTTTGGCGGTTTCATATTTTGCTAATTGGACACCGATTGATTGTGAAACCGAGTTATTGATCCACGAGTTATTGATCCACCGAGTTATTGATCCAAGTGATTATTTTTGAATTATTTCCTTCTCATATTTCCAACATTTTTTCATATTTTCCATCTATTTTCATCTATGGGCATAACAGAGGTTCCAGAAACATAACCCCACATTATTTTGCCTTTTAAAAAAATTTTCAACACATAACTCCAATATGAGTGAAGAGTCATCTTTTTTACCAGTCATTGCTACGATACAAATAAAACAAAGAAAAGGAAGATCAAAAAATTTCCTTGCTTCCTACATGCACAAAGCTGCCTGGTTCTTCTTCCTCTTGTTCACGTCCATCAACCTCACACCCTCGTCTTCGCACGCCACCTGCTTTGCACAGTACCACGACAATCTCAACTCTCACCCAAACCTTCTCCCTGTTGTCACAAAATTGAGCTAATTT